AAACGGACCGTACCTGCAACCTACCCGCCCGCTGCACGATACGCTGCATCTCTTCCCTCCAACGCAATCTCAATCTCACCCACATACCGCCATCTCATCTATCCGCCTAATGCAGCCGCGCAAAGACCTCCATCTCAGATACGCAGCGTACCGTAGCCTCGCTCCATGTTCCATGTTCCATGTTCCATGTAACCCTCCGCGACTAAAACCTCCGACGAAAACGCACAAGCCAGACGCAGTCTCCCTCCCTCCCCCCCTTCATCTCATTTACCAGTCTTGATGGACGCGCTGATTCCCCGAGGACCCGGTAGGAGGTCCAGCGCGGCTGTCGACGAGAGCTTTGCACCGGTGATGCCGGCCCGGTTGCGCCAGGGGCACACGATGAGGGGAGCGCGCGTGAGGAGTGGTTGATGCGGGTTGGCCGTTGAGCGGCGACATCTGGCTCAACGGCACAGCACATACTCCGCTGCGTCTTGTCGAGTAGGTAGGTAGGTACCTAGACAGCGTGCCCTTGCACCCATCCTCCTCCCAGATGAGGTACGGAGCGTCCTAGGCTGTTTGTATGTAGCGCAATGTACCTCGGTGCGTGTTTGCTGCAACGAGCCATTTTCAAAGCACACGCGGACGCGGGCGGAGGCGGAAAGGCGAATGGGTGACTGCCCGATGGCCGTCCCATCAGCCTGTGTACGGAGCTGGACGGTTCTGCGAAAGCGCTGCGAGGCACTGGCAGCGGCCTTCCCTCATCCCCAGCCACAAGGCCCTCTGCAAATTTTTCATTGGCCCGGAGTGCAAAATGCAGGTGCAGAAACGTGGCCAATGGATGCGCGACGTTGCGTGGTATATTGGCGGTTGTGTTATAGATATAGGCTATATGCGACAGGTGATATAGATACGATGGGTGAACTCCGCATGCGGTATTCCGGAAGTTGAGGCTGGCGGGTTGGAGGCTAGATGAGGGGGGTTTGGAAGGGGATAAAGGTATCGGGGAGGGGTGGTGGTGGAGGGAGATGGGCCGAATGGAAAGGGAAGGGGAGTGGTGAGGCGGTGGGGGGAGAGGATGAGGATGAGGATGAGGGACAGTGACTGTGCAGTGGACCGGCAGTAGTGGGTTTATGCTTTGGATAAATGATATGCGGAGAACTTGATGGGGAGGAGAAGATATGGTGTTGAAGTGGATGTTGAAGATTGAGATGGGTGCGATGAGGGTGTTCTAAGGAAATGTTAGGAGAGTATACTTACCTTTGGTACACATTTTGAGGCAAAGAAATCTCGTATTCCAGTTGTTTCGATTCCCGAACTTCCATAAGCCTTTCCGTTCTTTTTGTTCTGTTCCACGCAATGAATCCTCTTCAACTGACCCAAGACTGACTCTGGAAACAGACATCCGTCGGAAATCTTGCCCGTCGTGGAACTTGCGGGAGGCCCCGATACGCCGCATGCGCTCCCGGAACAGGCAAACGGCAACTCCCTTATTCGAGCTCTCTCGCAATACCAAGGCGACCTCAAAGAGCTGCATTCTCTACGGCTCGGCTAGAGGCTATCCGTTTCTGTTCACATCGACGGCCATCGTGGCATGTGGAGGTAAGAGGGTACGTGTGCCGTGGTCAGTGGCCGTCTATCTTAATGTCTAGGGGGGACATAGTCGGCTGCAAGCCTACAGCTGCAGAAGCAAGTGCTCTCCAAACCTCCCAGGTCAAGGGAGGGGGGGAGTGAGCGGACTTGCACCCTGACTGCATCTACCCTGGAATGCGTGCAGTTGTATTGCAGCTCTGCCTCCAGTATCGTCTGGGTTGGCCGTCGCGGAGGACGGCTAGGGAGCCAGGGGAGCTGAACCACCATGGCTGGCGCGTTGCTGGGGCCCGCTGTGGAACAGCTGCTGATGACACCATGCGAGGAGTGGCGAGCCGGTGAAGGATGGCTGGCGGTTGACTTGAGGGAGTGACTGTGCAGGTTACACAGCACGATGACCCTGGGGCACCCGTTCGAAACGCCGGGCTAGGCAAGTTTCTTCTGAGCGCGTGGACGCGTTGGTGGCTCGACTTGAGAAGAAGCGCCGGGCATGGCCTGGGGTGGGCTGGCCCGTGAGGGAGTAAAAGCGGCGAGATCAGTGTCCAAACAGAGACGCACTGTGGAGTGCAGTAGCGGACTGCACGGCCGTTGGTGACCGGCCTCGTTATCAAGATGGGAAAGACGCCCAGAGCACGATATAGGTCGCCATGCTTGCTATGCGCTCCGAAGTGTGCCCAGAACATGGTAAAATGACTTGTGTTGTCCATCGTTCAGTCATCGAAGGCATGATCGAGCTGAGGAGTTGCTCAGGGGCTGAAATTTCGATCGCTGGCAACAATTTCGTTGTCCAGAAGGGAGCCTCGCGCACCATTTCGCGCAATGGGCGCATGGCTTCGCCATAATGTGGAGAGCCCTGGAGTGGCGGCTCCTGGAAAGGGGCACACATCAGATAGCTTCCCTTGACGCGAGAAGCACAGTTCTGCATAGGGTCCAGAAAAACCCAGAAATTGGGCACAATATGGGGATGCTATACCGCCGGGGCGACCTCTATTGAAGGGATGGTGAGGACCAGGCGCCAGGTGTGGAATGGCGACTAGATGGAGATGAGCGAGGACGATAGTCGGTCTTGGTCCTGGTCAATAGGATGCACAGAATTCAGAGCTATTGACAGAGATTCCCTGGCTTCAGAGGGAATATCACATGCAAGAAGGGCATATGAGAGCCGGCGTGATAGGCATCCGTCAGCGGACGTGCAGGTCCAGTCCCGGACTCTGTCTGGCTAACTGTGCCCTTGAGGCTGTGAGCATCGTGAACAACACAACTCATGCTAGGAAGACTTACAAGCTTGCTGATCTTTGTACCCCTTTATGCTCTCCATTTGTACGCCGTGACGATCGGATAGCAAGAGGGAAGAGTCTTGGGACTGTTTCCCTTGTGTCGTTTCTCTCACCAGGATGTCCGGATGCTGCTTCGTTCTCCAGGGAAACAAGCCACATGGGCATGGAGAGGTCCACTCGCTTGTGTGCATATTGATGATTTACACTTACTAGGTCTCCAGGCACCTCATCATCTGGTGGAGATGGAGCCTCCGAGGGTGGAGCAACACTGGCAGAGGCTGTGTGCATCTTGCCCGATAGCATGAAGAGCAACCGGCGTCGGTCGTCTCCGGTGTCGATCTGCTCTCATCTGGTCAACAACAGCATTCAAGTGGAGACCGAGTAGCTGAACGGAAGTTGATACAGCTTAGAGATGCCTGGCATCATGCAAAAGGACTTCTTGCTTGAAGGAGACAGTGCTTGAGACTCAGTGGACATACGATCACGGAACCGGAAGCCAACCTGAACCGTGATGAGCGAACTCGAACATGTTTAGGATGCCTTCATGCAGAAGGTACTGTAAGTAGGCAGACTCTCTATCCTCCTACACGAACATCAGCACTGACCAGACATGCTAGGCTCGTATGATTACCATCACGTCCAAGGACAATTGAACACAAGCCATGCTCCGAGGTTCCGGAATCACCAGCGGCCGGAAGACACGAAGTACCGTAGGATTAGATACCAAAGCGATCAAAAAAAAGGAAGCAAACGAAATGAGATGGACAGCCAACAACCGATTACAGGATTCGGCGGGCGTCACGAAGACCTTATATCACGCTGCATAAACGGCTCTTAGAGTATTTGACATACGCATTCAAATATCTACTGCGCCTACTATTGTCCTTGACAAGAGAACGTCTTCAAGAACGTCGCAACATGGTGCGAATTGTATCTAATTCTTCTCGAAGGTTTGAAGACGTTCCAAAGGATGAAGGCTTTGACCGCAGACTTCGAAATGGTAGACGCTTTGAAGTTGCGATGCTTCTGGGAATGGAACACTGCTTTACGCTTTAATCAAGCAGTGTGCGTTGATATGCCTATGCGAAAAGGTGTTTCTTGCATGAAAAGCTGGAATGCATGACCAACATGACAGGGGGTGGTGATGGGTTGAGACTTCAACCCAAAGAGTTACATGCAGATGTCTCGTCAATGGAATTGCAATGTACATCGAAGGAACTTCGGTGTCCTTCCTGGCTTCGATGTTGATGTTCTTGATACCCTGGAGTTGGTGGGGAGCTTTTGCGAGTCATGTGTAGCGAACAAGTTGACCTTCTGTGACATGTCTCAGAATCGTTAGAGAACGTCGAACGGCTTGGCAGGAACTGTTGCAGTTCGTTAGGTATGCAGGTGAATGACTCTGTTCTGCACTTTTATCCATGCGTACTTTTGAGAAGAAGAAAATGGAGAAAGATGGGGTGCTGAGGATCAACAACTTTCTAGAACCTGGTATGTTTGTGGCAGACTTCTGCCCTTGTGTTTTGGAAGAGTAGTAAATCTAATTTCTATGGCGTAGAGGTTTACGAGCTCAGAATTCGATACTGTGGTGACTGTTCCCATTCCTCGATTACTTGGGGCGTTTAAATCGGTGGTCAAAAAAACCGTTCTCATTGGGCTGATTTAATTGCCAGATGATCGGAATGATCAACATCGTCGACCCCGCGCAGAATGTGATGTAACTACCTTTACACCGCCAAAGGAGCCGTAATAATGTGCGAGCCCCTCCCTGGCTTGAATCAGACTCTGTATGGCGAGGCATTCAGTCTCGTGCAAACATGATACCAAAGCTCACCAATCGAGCTTAGGTCACGTGAGTGATGTTCATCGACAGCGTGACTAATCTTCGACCCGGATAGTTACACTGGGCAAGGCTGACTTGATCTACAATGACTGTATTTTCCAGATCGCATGTTGAGTTGTCCCGCTTCTCGAATTGCCACCAACGTTTTGTCCTAATCGAGAGTAAGATATCTCTGGCCACACCCTTGCGTTGGTTGCATAGATTTGTGACAGTTCATCAACAACATCAGCAATAACATTAATGACCCAAAAAAAACGTCGACTAATCCGAAACACCCAAAGGGGTTGGGAGATACAAAAACGCAAAAAGAATGTTGACAACTGCGAGACTCGAACTCGCGAATCTTTCGATACCAGCACATTCCGAAGAACCTGAAGCTGGCGCCATAACCGCTCGGCCAAGTTGCCGTGGTTGTTGATATGCATTCTGGTACGCTTTGTGTATCTATATACACTCGTAATTTGCAGATACAAGTTCTGCAGTTCTTGAGCAAGTGGGGTAGCAGCCAGTGGCAGGGACGTTGGAAAGCGGGGTTAGTGGAGAACTAGCTCGCTTCGGCATTGGTAGAACACGACCTTGTGTGAGACAACAACGGCTCATAGTACAACACTTCGCTCAACTAGCGCCTTTCCAACCAAGTCTACCACTGATAATAATTTCACATGATGCTTAATGCGACCAATGCATCTTTTGAAATACTACATTCCTTGGATTAGTTAAAATTCGTTTTTCGGTGATAATGCTGGGGGCGGGGGGGACGGTTGCACGTATGTGTTCACAAGTATTATTCATTTTTGTCAAACTTTACACATCGAAATTGATCTAAGCAGAGCTGCATTTCTTTGAGTATTGACGTCCTAAACTTTTGCCTCCAACTATCAGCTGTTGCTGACATTGGAAACCCCTTTCTTGTAAGACTTGAAGCAAATCGGAAATAGAAAACCCCCCTAAACTTTTGCATCTACTCGCCAGACTGTTGCTGGAAGCAGAGGCTCCTCCTTGCTCCTTGGAAAAACTCCAAGCAAGTTCGAAAAAGAAAAGCCCCGTCTCAAACTTTTGCACCTAACCACTAGACTGCTGCTGATTGTAAAATTCGCTTTTTAGAAGACTTCACGAAGTCCACGAAAGGAAATCTCCCTGAAGAACCCGCCGACAGAATACCTTGCCTACTCACTGTCGTTGAGAGTCTCTGCAGCTTGCTTGCCCTTCGAGCCGCGCGTGCGGTAACGTTGTGTCATCTGGCGGTGCTGATGAAGATCCTCCTCCTCATCGGACAGCACGCGGCGTTTTTTGCCGGGGCGAAGTGGAGAGACGCCTTGAAAAGGAACGTCGACCTCGTCCTCTTCCTCTTCATCGTCGCCGCCTACTGGATCACTAAATCCTTCGAAATCCGTCTCATCGCTCGCATCCTCTTCCTCATCCATATCATCCCAAATTTCCTGCGGGTGGAAGTCGTGTAGATGGCGCAAGAACTTCTTGACCCCCTTGACAGGCTCCTTGCAGCATGGGCAATCGATTAAGGTCTTTTCGGTCACACCATCAGCCTTCAATGCAGGTCGGAGCTGCTGTTCGCGGGTGTGCGTCTCTCCTCTCATATGGGTGTTGAGACGGAATCGGTTGAATTCACGCTCTTTCGTTGTCTGATCGATGGTGGGATCCGTCTGGCACCGCGGACAGTGGAGCTTCGACTGTGGTACGACTGAATCTCCCTAAGGTTGTTGTTAGTGTCTCCAACTTAGATAGCGGACAGGAAGCTGACCTTTCCAATCCACTTCAACAGGAACTCGCGCCGGATTTTGCTCTCTTCTGCACTTAGAGGTGCCTGCGAACCACCATCTTTCCCACCCATTTGCATGGTCACCACCTTGCCCAATCTGCAACCAAGGTTAGCGTTAGACTCAAAAGGGGTTTTTGCAGCCAAGACTGGACAGCTTACCCTTCCCAGCATTCGGGTTCTTCGCGTGAACCATAATCGTGGTCTCCAAGAACATCCTCATCGACTCCATCATCTTCATCCTCATCCTCATCCGCATCTCCGTCGTCTTCCTCGCTGTCTAGCAACGCTTGTTCCGCGGACTCTCCTATGCCAGGTACGCGAAGACCTCGCACACGTTCTGGCTGATATCCTCCACCGGGGGCAAGTACTCGCTTAGACGCCGTCATGCTCTCGTTGAGCACTGCTTTGTGCTTCTCCCTCTTCTCGGTGCGAATATCGTTTCTGAGTTGCAAGCGAAGCTTCCGGAGTAGTTGCTTCCTTAGTGCTAACTTATCTTGCAGAGTTTCGAACAGCTTCAGCTGGTTGTACTTGCTGAGCAGGGATTTCAGCTCTGCAGCCCGATAGGTGGAGTATCCAGTTGGAATTTTTTCGTTGTCGGGAATGTCGCCGCTCTGTTGCAGCTCGCTGAGCGCCGAGCTAATCTCTTCGTAAAGTGATTTTAGCTCCAGCTCACCGTTGATGTATTCAGGTTGCTGGGGAAGGCGCTTCTTGACTTCGGCGTCAATTGAGTGAGTCAAGCTTTCCTCTCCGGTGTACCTCGATACATTGGCTTGACTGAAGAATTTCCTGACCTCTTCACGGCTCATTCCTTCAGGCCCACCCAACCGCATCTGTTGCATATCAACGTCGCCAAATCCGACATTGTCATAGAAGAACAAACTGTTGGCACTCGGTTTGTGAAATGCAAGGTCCTTCGCGGCTTCTGTACCGTGACGTCGGCGCACTTCAATAATTGCGGTCCGCCGTAGAGAGTAATATGTATTGCGTTCGAGGAGGCCAATGCTTGCGCATATTTGTTTGAGTTTGGGGTTCAAGGCTGCTAGCCTCATGGGTTGTGAGGGATCAAGCGTGCCCGCTTGATTGGAAGCGACGAAAACCTACAGTGTATTAGTCCAACCGGAAAGTAGTTTCCATTCGAGCTGCATCTTACCGCTTGACTATTCACGTCTGGAACTTTCTCAAGAAACACCTCACTGGGAGGCGTCCCGAGGATCTCCTCGATTGTCCGGCGGAAGCGCCCTCGCTCATATGCGATGCCAAACAGGATGATCGGCAAATCAAATTCCAATCTCTCGCCTCGTGAAGGCAGAAACAGGAAGGTCCTTGAGACGTTTGCGGAGACAGGCGCCCCCTCTTGGTGGGGATTGCGGTATCCCTTGTTGTAGCGAAAGGTGATTCGAACCGCGATGCCGCCCATCATATGGATGAAGTCCACATCGGACCACCGTAGAGTCTCATCGACAGGACGCGTCTTGTCTGGTCGGCCTGCCAAATCTGTTAGTGAAAAGTTGCCGTGGACCAGATGTACCATACCTAGTGAAGCCCCCTTTTGATACCCTTCTCCAACAACGATGGTGCCCGGCCGTGCAGCGGTGAGCCAGACAAGCAACATCGCAGCCCAGTGCTGCTTGTAATTCGCTACTCCATGCTGCTGCTCCATGATGAACTTGAAGATAATCACCAATTCGACGTCGCTCAAGTTGACCTTCTTCCACGACTGTGTGCTCAGCGACTCGTGGACAGCGATCATGTGAATATGTCGGCTGACTTCTTCGTGCCACGATTGCCATATCAGATGGAAATCTTTGACTAGAGCACAGGCCCACCAATAAATCGCGTGCTTGTAGCCTGACCAAACTTGTCAGTACAGTGTTTGGAAAAGTGGTTTTGGAAGGTAAGATATTCGTACCCCACAAGGTCGCCGCCTTGATCTTATCGCCGAACTTGCCCTTCGCAGTCTAGGAGGAGTCAGCTTGCCATGGTAACACCCAAAAAGAAAAAGGGTTGGGAGCCTACCAATGCAATGCCTTGTATGAACTGTTTTGTCAGAGACACGAATCGATCCTTGTTCCAAATATCTTCCGGCTTGTCGAAACCGTAGACCTCTTGGACAAAGCACTCGAAGAGTGTCCGGGCTGCCTCTCTCCGCTGACGTGCCCCGCCATCGAAGAACTTGGACTTTTCTGCGTTCTCTTGTAGTTCCTTGATCTTCTCTGGGTTGGCGGCCAGGCCGGCAAAACCCCTTCTGAAGCGTTCGGAGGCTTTCTTCGCTGGGGGCAGGTGGGTGTACATGATTTCTATACCGGTGAGGGCCAAGCGGCAAGTGATGCACGAAATAGTAGGCAAGAGAAGCAAAAGAGAAGTAGGGAAGTGGTGAGGCTACCACGATCGCAAATCGTGGGCCGTTTGAGTACTTGGTCTGGTGAAGGTGAGGCGTGGAGGGTGGTATGCAGCTGCGGCTGCGGCCCAAGGTCGAAGGTTGAAGGTTTGAGGTTGCTCGAAGGTGTTGGAGTGCAAAGTCTGGTGGGAGGTTTTATATTCCACTGCGTTTGTTGTCGACAGTAAAAGTGGGGCTGCAGACGTCAAGGCATACACAACCACTGCTTCCTTTCCCCACACACCGACTTTTCTGGCGGGGTTAAAGAACACCTTACGGTTAGATTCTTCAAGGAGTCTACACACATCTCTCTCTCATCACCCTTCCTGCACCTCAGCTCGCCTGCTTCACCCACTCTCAGTGGCGGACTATCCACCATGGTTGACAATGACATGCACCCGGATGAGTTTGGAAAATTGAAGGTGAACGAAATGAAAACCGTGTTGGGTAAGTCCTTTGAAGTACCGATCCACACTGCGGAGTTCTTGGACTGACTCATTGCAGCTTCACGAAAGCTCAAACTCGGAGGCAACAAATCCGATCTCTTGATGAGATATCGTACCTGGTACACTGCTACGTATGGTGATACTTCTGCCGGTGCCTCTGGCGGTGCCTCTGGCGCCTCTGGCGGCGCCGCTGGCGATACTTCCGGGGATGGAGCGGTCGAACCCCTTTCCGGTGCAGGTATGTTTGATGTACATACATCAAAAGGGCTTTTCACACCGAGGGCTCCAAAACGCTAACAAATCCACAACAGCAGTCACAATTGCCACAGGGCCTCTACTCAATCGTCTCCTCATGCCCAGCAAGACCAAAGTCTCACCCCTGACCCTCGAATGTCTCCAAAAGTTGCGGTACACTCCTGCCAAGCAGTACGTTCAAAAATCATCACGGACGGACCTTTCAAACGTGCTTAAGCCAGTGGAGTTGTTTGTCGACGTCTTCATTAGAATGATTCAGCAGATGGAGGGTAACCTGGCGAGCGAGGCTGGAGACAATGAGTCAAGACACCGTGTCTACCTCAAAGAAGCTCTTCCTCAGATACGGGCTTCACCCGACCTTGTTCCCTTCTTCACATCATGGGGCATCGACGCGATTCCTGGAGACGAAGAGCTATCTGTTGGTCAGGGGGTGGAGTATGAAACGCAACTAGCGCTTGCCATGGACGCATCGAAAGTGACGGCAGAAGCAGAGGCCCGTAAACGCGAGGGCAAGGGCAAGGGCAAGGGCAAGGGCAAGGAGCAGCCAGCAGG